ATATTAATTCAGTGTTGCATTGTGATAAACAAAACTGAAAATAAAGTTTATTTTCACTTTAAATGTAAATTTGATTATGACGGGGAGATCTTAGCTTAGTAATAATATATACTATATGTATGTTCATTATACATGTGCATGCATTATGCAAAACACCTACATATTTACTGATATGCTGAATCTGTGTACAGATTTGAAATGGGTATAAACAAATGCACTATGTTACTTATAGGTGCCATACATTTTTTTAACAAGAAATAATCTACATGGCAGATTTTGTTTTATATTTTTGTAACACAATTGGTTTTCTGCTTGTCATTTAGGTGTGAACACTTGCATAAATGAATGCACATTTTCAAATAGATAAAATATTTTTAAAAATATATTATATGACATTGTAGTCACCTGCTTTTGAAAGAGTAAAACATGTTTTTTAAAAATTGTCTTAAATTTTCAGTAAATACATGCACATCTAATTTTGTATCTTATGAATAATAACGAGATCCAATATTTTGGAAAACATACTAAGGTATGTTCACCTTTACGAAACCTTCAAGGTGAATATGACATTATTTTTCTATGCTGGTCCAATAACAGACCGAGAACTTCAAAATTGATGCTATTAGATATAAAAAGTTATGTTCACCTCCACCTCGATCTTCCAGGTGAAAATAACATTTACATACATAGGGCCAAATTTCTGAATTGTAAAATTTTTCTGAAAAATTATTTTATCCGAACAGGTGAACATGACATTTTTTTTCTGTTTTCGGACAAAACAAATAGATCACGTATTTTCAATTAATACAACTGGGTACGTTTATTTTAACCCCGCTTCACTCGCTGCATTCAGCTAGGACTTCAAAGAATGTAAACAGATAAGAAATATGTCAAGGATTACTTAGGCGTAAAAAAAATGTTTGTTTCCTGTAATATTCCCAAAAAATCAAGGGTCGGTAGGTCGGGATGATATTGGGTTTAAACATCTCCGGACTGAATTAACCAGGTGTTATATTCACAGTGGACACCCAACATGGCTGCCTAGCGGCAGAAAACGACTTTCGTAAAGATGTGGGGGAAATTGTTGTTACAATAATGATTACTCTTTATATTTAAGGTAAATGTTGACTAGGTTGACATAATTTATATCTCAAATAAAGCTACAATTTATATTTTTTAAATAAATGGAATCAGCTGATTGATCAAATCAAAGGCAAAGAGCAAACGCAGATTTGGCAGAAAAATTTGAATGGGTCGGTCGGGTTACGGGAAACAAACATATTTTTTTTAGGCCTTAACTAGTTTATATCATTTAATCACTGAATCATATACTAATAAAACAATTATAAAAAGATGCCTTAAGCTTAGGCTTGTATAAGAAAGATAACAAGATGTTTAAACTTATTTAAATTTATTTGGCGATATAGGCCACGGTTGCTTTATACAATAAGTGAGCCAGGCATCAATTATTGCCTTGATTTGGCATCCCCAAAAATATACAAGCATAAGTGGTTGGCCCTGGGCACAGATGCTCACCCGATTGAACAATAATTGCAAAATGCATTCAATTAGGCACCAAGTCATATAGTTACAATGTAAAAATATAGGTTTGGCACTACTGGTGAGCCAAATATCCGCCTAGGCAATATGCTTAATAACCCAAAAACCCCGAGGTTAAGATGATGCTAATACCAGGGCGGGATTCAAAGGATAACCCCGAATGACAAAATATTGAAAAAAGCAAGCTTAGTGACACTGATAAATGGATTTAACTTTGAGTGGTTAAATCACATTATCAAAAGATGCCTTAAGCTTAGGCTTGTATAGGAAAGATAACAAGATGCTTATACTTCATTTAAATTTATTTGGCGATATAGGCCACGACTGCTTTATACAATAAGGGAGCCAGGCATCAATTATTGCTTTGATTTTGCATCCCCCAAAAAATACAAGCATAAATGGTGGGCCCTGGGCACAGATGCTCACCTGATTGAACAATAATTGCAAAAATCATTCAATTAGGCACCAAGTCATATAGTTAAAAATATAGGTTTGGCACTACTGGTGAGCCAAATATACGCCCCGAGCCTATGCTTCAGCATTGGCTGCGCTACCAGTAGGGCTCCCTGTATGAAAATGAAGGATTGATATTGTTTAGAGTAAGTAAACCAACATGAAAATGACCATCAAACTGATGTGCATGTTCTCCAAAAAAGAAAAAAAATATAAATATAAATGCACGTATAAATGTGTGTCAATAAACAATACTTAGTCTTACAAGATGACCAAGAAAATAAAATGACTTGGTATACGTCAGTACAGATACATAGACCCTCAATAGTCTATGGACAGTCAGGAAACAAAATTAGGACAAGTACCATGACTAAAATCTTAGACATGGCGCAGCCATGGCCCATTTTCCCCAAGTCTTGGGGACACTTGAATGGAGTTATTCATCAAAAACGCTTGCAGTGCTTTTTGCAATCTATACAAAAACCAAGTTATTACCCATCTCAGAAAGGTGGACCTTATCTTTAAAAAACATGCCTGTGTTGACCATATGTAACTCTGGGTACCTGATGTACTTCCCCCAGACCTTAATAAGTAGGTAGCCACATGGCTGTTCACTCGGACTCTTATCCTCTCCATAGCAGATTGGTTAATACCCCCCCCCCCCCTCCAATGAAGACGCGGCAGTATTTGCGACCATATCAATATTGTTGATGGTAGTAATTTTGCTAATTTTTGTAAAACATCTTTTAATCTGAAACGTAAATCAGCTGACTTACCCCCACTGTACTATGGAATGTTATTACCCCCGAAATGAATTACTAACCATTTTCTACCTTGAGTAATGTTCTAACTTTATGTAAGATCTCTTCCAACTTCATACCCCCTTTGCCTTGCCAGAATATGGTAGCATTATGCCGGTCTAAATCTAAGTTGGTGCAAAATAGTGATTTTCTTGCATGATAAAATGCATGCTTAACAATGGAAGACCCAGTGATCCATATTCTTTTTACACCTACAAAAAATTGACGACAAAAAAAATTACATGATTATGAGGCTAAGGCCAATTACATCTTAATTCCTAATATACTTGAACAAACACTGAGATTTCCATCTACCCCTACTGGCAATGTCTTTTTCGCTAGCTCCGTTGCCCAAGCAGTGGAAATTGCGCCTATGCGGAAGGAATGAGTTTTGTAAGTTTGCTTGTTTAACCCCAGTTTTTCTATGGCCACATTGAAAACAGGTGACACCTGGTACCTTGTCACAGGGCTACCCGAGATGTGACAAAAAATGCTGAAGGGAAGTTGGGTCTTAAGTGCATGAATGTTAGAACTAGGCGCACTGGGCATATTGGCTGAAGAGTGGCTGTTAGTGAAATTGTTGTTCCCCTCCCCTCTTGATCGGTTTTCGAGTGTTTAAGGACAATGAGGACTGTGTTGGTGTGTTTGTGATAAGTTACATCCCCGGCTTGAATAGTATGACCAGGGTCATGTGCCGAATTTTGAACCAGCTCCCCCATTCTAAAATAACCAAAAAAGATTGTTGTGAATATGGCTGAGAACAGCACAACTTCCAGGCGCGTAGCTGCCTATACGCAAATACGCAAGTGCGTACACATCATTTTCAGAAAAAAGAAAAAAAAGATAAGAAAAAAGAGAGAATTATTCGGAGAAATAAAATCTCAGTACCATCCAACAAATTTTCGTGTTTCAAATTATTCTCTGTCATACTGTGTCGATTTAAATCTTAAATTATCATGGCTGTATGATAAAATTTGAAATCTTTTATTTAATAACTGCCAAATCCAAATAATTCATTCATTATTTTGTCATTGTTCTATTATACATTGATTTTTTTTTAAGGATCTTTGAAAAATTCAATTTCAGCCACATCGTTGAATGCTATGATCTACTAGTATGATTTACAATACGATATTTTTTTGTTCATAATTAAAATTTTGTATACGTGTTTTAAAAAGTTAAGAATAATTATTTGATACCAATTAATATATCGGTTAAATTTTTTATCCTCAATTATATGTGCAATAGGTTTCTATGGAATATTAATTTTCGTTAAAAAAATAAATATTACTATGTCTTTTATTTCCTAAACAAAAAACTAAAACTAAAGAAAATGCATGAAATATTTGGTAAAACTCCGGAGCTTCTGGGCCCTCACCAGCAGGCACGTAGTATCAGGGGAGCCTCCCCCCTACTTATTCCCAAAACCTAACCTTTTACTATTGAAATTGTACATTGAAAGGGTTGGACCCCCCCCCCCCCCTGTTTTTGCACCATTGTTAAATCATGGTAATTTGGTAATGTATTAATAAAAATTTGGTTTGTGAAAGATGGATACCCCCCCCCCCCCCTCAACAAACACACACACACACACACACACACAAGAAATAGGACTTCGAATTTTGACAAACTTCCTTTTTCGTCTTTGCTTGACAAAATTTTTAAAGTCGTAATTTTTTCCTGGCTGGCAAAAACTATATTACGTGCCTGACCAGAGCCCTTAAACACTGGGTGGGTGGGGGCTCAAGACCCCCCCCCCACCCACCCAACCCCCTGCCGTTCTCTGCGTACACATCATTTCTATTCTGGCTACGCGCCTGACTTCATATGGGGTTTTGCAAATTGTAGGAAGCAACTTTAGTATACTGGACAAAATTGTGGAAGTTACCGGTTTACGTCCATCAACATGCACATTCTTTCGGCCCAAACCTACGAGGATTTTTCTGAGTAAGAATGATTGTGTTGAATCAGGAAGATTGTGAAGTTTACAAAAATAAGATATCTCAGAAATGTAAGACTTAACTGTGTTTGGGGAATACTGCTTATATGATAGGTAGAAAACAAAATCCACTAATTTATTTTAATGGGGAGGCCAGTCTTCTGTTCCAAAATAAAGCTTGCGAAAATCATTGAAAACGTTTAATGCAGTGTTACACAACTTCTTAGAACTGTCAGAGATAAAATAGCTTAACAGCTCTCGAGCTCTATGTCGTAGATCGCCTGCAGAAATGACTGGGGAATTAATGTTGGGTGGTCCTCCGCCTCTGGGAAGCTGGCCCGGAAACGTGACCACTGCTGTCGAGAGAGAGAATCGGCTTTGATACTATGCAGGCCTATGATATGTGTCGCCTTCAACTGAATGTTATACACTAACCCCCGAAGAACCAAATTCCTAAGCAAACGCATGACCCTTTTTGATTTGAATGTCTTAGAATTAAGAATAGATACAAGGGCCTGGTTATCGGTGTGAAGAATAACTTTCTTGCCAGCCAATTTTCCACCCCAGATGTCAAAAGCCATAACTATTGGTACTAACTCTAAGAATGTAATGTCTTTAATGATCTCTAACCATTTCCACTGTGCTGGCCATTGCATGCATGCCCATTGCTTACATGTACCTAAAATAGCACCACAACCTAACTCAATATTTTCTGCACTATCAGTAAATAACTCCAAGTCAAAATCATTTGTCCAATCCACAATTCTGTAAGAAGTGACTCCATTGAAATATTCTAAAAACAGTAACCAAGTTTTAATATCTGCCCTCATTTCTAAACTGACCCTGCGCTTGTGATATGGTTTTGATAGACAGAACATTCTATCCTTAAAATGATATTGTCCTACGGACCCGGTTTAACGATAGAATTCGTTCCTTGTATTGGCAATGTTGCAAAATAAACACGGGCGATAACTCGAACTCTCTGCATTTTCTATGAACAACCCAGAGAGTTTCGAATGTCAACATGGCATTAAATTTGAAGAGAGGAAAAAACGTTGAGAAAATGAGTTGAATTTTCGTATTTATATGGATTATTTTTTAGGTTAAAAGGCATAAACAACCTCAAAAAGGTTTGTTATTATTAATTTGGTAGTTATTTTCAGTTTAACTCCTTTTGTATTCTTCAAAATCATTTCGGAGTGGATCCACTCCGATTTGCTACATTGCAAGTATATGGGACGTATTCTAAGGGCTTAATTTGCAAGCATGTCTAATGCGTCATCAAATGACGAGTAATTAACCGAGCAATGCTCCTTAATAATAAAATCATTGACGCTAGACCCAGATGGGTAAGACAAGTGATGAATCAATCTGTAAGAACCCCCCTTCTTCTGTACCATACCCACTGGGGAGAACCTAAGATTCGGCAGAGGGGCTGATCAAATGAACCTGCAACTCTGCCTGACATGATCTCATTAATAACTAACTGAATGGCGTCAAACTGTAAACCAGACATGGATTTAAGATTATTACAATCAGTGGCCACTCGAGGCCCTTCATAACACAACCTAATTCCAAATGTAAATCCCTGCAAGAGTTCTAAGGCCACCAAGCCAAGTGGGTAATTTGCCAATAATTCACTTAATTTGGGCACATTATAGGGTTTGCTGCAATATTACTGAGGTCTAGCTGACTGGGTATAAGGGGCTCTAATAGCTGAACTTGGTTCTGTGAGTCTCCTGGGTAGCTGAGGCCGCCATGTTGCTTGCAGACCACTAGACCTAAAATTTAAACTAGAGCCTGAGGATGTCTTGTGTTTAACGTAGGGATGGTTTTGTGAACGTATCATGCATTCGTGTTTGTATTGACATGCGAGTTTATTACACAGGCCCTTGTATTTAAATTCATAACACTTAAGAAGGGAGGCCTGAGGCGAGGAAATCTGGGAGCACTGTACATGTACAAGAGCCATAGCTCCTGGTCAACTACAGCAAATGGGAGGGATGGGTTAGCCTCCTTCTTCAGCCTAAACTGAATATCATAGTCACGCCACCCGAGTGTATTTACCTTACTTGCCCCCAACCTAATAGTATGAATATATTTAAATACCTGCTCTCGGGATGGGCTGAGGTATATACGGGTTGGGCATACACCACCTTTTGGTCCGTTAACCCCCACTTGGTGGTCGATTACCTGAATGATATACATGTATTACTAACCAAATGGTAATCTTTTTTCTTCGCGCCAATATTACAAAAAAAAAAAAAAAAAAAAAACAAGAGGCACATGGGCCACAACTCTCACCTGCGTAACTTTGGCCTTGCTGTTTTTCACCTGATCCCCCCTTGTAGTACTTATCGTGGCCCTGCCCTACCCCCGGGGATCATGATTCAAACAATTTAGAATCTACACTACCCCAGAATGCTTCTACATAAGTTTCAGCTTTTCTGGCCCAGTGGTTCTCGAGAAGAAGATTTTTAAAGATTTTTACTACATATTTCAATGCAAAACTTGGATTCCCTATTGTGACCCCGCCCTACCCCCCGGGGGTCATAATTTGAACAATTTAGAATCTACACTACTCCAGGATGCTTCCACATAAGTTTCAGCTTTTCTGGCCCAGTGGTTCTTGAGAAGATTTTTTAATGACCCAACCCAATTTTTGTCTTTTCTTGATTATCTCCCCTTTGAAGGGGACTTGGCCCTTAACCCAAGGATGCTTTGTTCCAAGTTTGGTTAAAATTGGCCCAGTGGTTCTTGAGAAGTTGAAAATGTGAAAAGTTTACAGATGGACGGACGGACAACGGGTGATCAGAAAAGCTCACTTGAGCTTTCAGCTCAGAGCTAATAAAGGAAAGGCGCAGTTGCACGGACATCGGGAGATGTTCTCCTACTAGCACCCAGACTATAAAAGGCGAATCGAGCAACATTTCATGCGTAAAAATCGAGAGAAGTGGAGAAGAACACATCAACCAAGTAAGTAAAACTGTTGTTCAGTCTATTGGGTTCTAATAACAACATACCTCTTAAACGCTGCAAAATTTTTACTTGGGATCTTTGTTTCACTTTCATAGTTTGCTAAACAAAGCGCCTTATTGACCGTGATCGTCTCGAACTAATCAAAAATCCCGTTATAATTAATTGCAACAGCAAAAACGTTTGTACGGCGGATCTATAGTGTAAAAAATATAGAAAAATTTTGCATTTATGTTGAACTCCTTGTAAATATGGATTTAACAGTTTGTATGAAATATAATTAAAGATATATATATTTATACTGACTTGTTGTTTATTTAGAGATGCCATTTCAAAAGAAATGTAGCATCAAAAATCATGCAACATTTTCCAAAGACTCGGAGGAAAAAAGTATTTTCAAAGTGCAGGGGAAAAGTGAAGGTAGAAGTTATAGAAAAATAAAAGGAGGAGGGAGAACTCAGTTTAATGGCAATTTACATTTGCGAAGGATGCGTTAAGTATACAGAGGTATGTTTTTAATAATCGAAAAGGGGGGTGTAAATATATATATGTTGTATGATTTTTTTTTAATTTGAAGATCAAAAGAAAGACTACGATGTCTTTCCTCTGCTATGTCTCAGGCAAGATTAATTCCTAAACTGAAGAAACCAACCATTGTGGCAGAATTAATTCAAAAGATTGAGAGCGGGGAAATTGATGACAGTGATTTAGATTTGATCATGACTGCAATTGGTTTGTTTGTTTGTTTAACTTTTTTAAAGACGTTTACTTCTTTACTTGACTCTCAGGACCATTGAGTTCTTGCGGGCATGTAGAACTGTAGCATCGAGAAGGGGGGTTAGATGGTTTTAATTTTTTGACGACAACTTTTAATACATTAACAAGGTGGAATTTAACTATACAACTATACTGCAATAAAAAAGGGGAAAACTATATTCAATGAAGATTTTCATACTCAATTAAGAGTGAAGCAATATGATGGGAAAACGGGGGGGGGGGGGGCTTCCCTCAATATTACGTATTTTTTGTACATTCAGTGAAAAAAATACGGTGATAGAAAACATGTATTTCACTAATTTTTCAGGTAGAAACCAATCCAAAAAAATGTATGATGATAGTGTAGTTGCAGGTACGCTGCACCAGAGCGATGAAACATTAAAACATTTCGATCCATCAAGTAAGATCCATTTACAACCCTATGAACACATTTTAATGTATTGACCATATTTTTTTTCCATCAGGAACCAGAGATAAAACAAAGGATACCAAAGGAAGGTTCAGTAAAATGTTTTCCTTTTTTTCTTGTTAAGAACCTCTTTGTTTTCTTTTCTAAGGCTACATGAATGAGAGGAACGGCCCTTTACTTGCGTTTTTTAAAGGGATGATAGGTGGAAATGGAGAATGCCATCATCATTGCTAATGCAGTAGAAACCATTTATTTCCTACAAAAGAGAACATTTATTGGACCACTTTCTTTCGCCAAGGCTCTTCTAATCTGCTCTAAGACAGGTGCAGTTTAAAATCTGAAATAAGATGATGTATATTAAGTACAATGCATACACTTAATGAAACACATTTTATTTACATTAATTTGTCATTTTTCTTCATCAATTCCTTAATACGTTTGATTTCCATTACGTTTGATTTCCATTACTGGAACTAGTCGCCCGCGTGGCGCAGTGGTTAGAGCGTCTGCTCTAGAGTCGCGAAGTAAGGAGTTGATCCTTACGTCGCGGGTTCGAATCCCACTGTGGGACGTGGAGACCGGTCCTTCGGATGAGACCGTATAAACTGAGGTCCCGTGTCGCAGTAGGTGCTGGCACGAAAAAGATCCCTCACTGCTCAATGGCCGTAAGTGCCGAGGATAGGACAAAATTTGCAGGTCTCCACCGGCAAGTGATGGCGTCTCCATATGAGTGAAAAATTCTGTAGAGGGACGTTAAACAACATACAAACAAGCAAACAAACAATGATATTTTTCTTATTGAGATTTTTAAACTATTTTTTTTTCAGATACACATTTATCTCTAGCAGGCATGTAGGAGAGCCAGCTGAAGTAATTGCTGTGGAACCAATTTTTGAAAACCCATGTCCAGATGAAGCAGTGGAGAAGGTTATTACTTTATTCTTAAGTATTCAAATTAAAAAATACATTTTTGATATGTCAAAGCAGCGGTTTTCATTAATTTTAAGGTACTGGGTCATCTACTGGAGGAGGCGGGTGTTGGAGATTCGAGACAGTGGACTGCTGCAGGGTGCAAGGCTCCCCTACGTCCTTGCCTCCCGCATTATAGAGGAGATACATGTATATATTTGTCCCACCTGCCGTCGGCAGTTTGAGAGGGACGAGTTCCTGTCTCATATGGATGACAGCAAACATGCTGATGATCTGGAGCATGGCAGAAAATACAGGAATGCTCTGATGCTAACAGGTGTAAATTTATTTTGAATTTCAATTTTCCATAAAATGAAAAGAGAAAAAACATGCATTATGTGAAACATAACAATTTTTCCCATTTTGCAGGTCACGGTCATTTCGAGATTAATATGACCAAAGCTTTGTTTAAGCTTTTATGGGATGTTTGTTTGGCAGAGCTTGCCAAAATGTTGGGCTTTAGAAGTCTAAAGACCCTTGCTTTATGCCAGTCTGCCCACGGTATATACTTCTGTTTTCGTATGAAAATGAGTTTATAACAATTTGTGTAGATGAAACATACACTTTTGATTATTAACATTTTTTCCACTCCCATTCTTCTTCTTAATAAAACGTTAAATCGTTTTGCAGATCACCATAAAATTTAAGCTGGCAAATGTTAGAAATTTTTCTGTTTGCCATGCCTGCAGAAATGCTTCT